ATACTTTCATCATCATTCAACACTTTCACCACACTCACACATTATCACTGTTTTTGCAGAGGTGCTCAGAATACAACAGTTTAGAAGCATATACGCATAAAGATACACAACACATCCCTCCAAACTGCCAATATCCCAAACCCCTCCTTTAAAGTGCAGGCATTGTACTTCCCATTTCCAGGACTCAAGTCTGACTATGTGAAAAATAACCGGTTTTCCCTGAATCCCTTCACTAAATATTACCCTGCTCACACTCCAACAGATCGTCAGATCCCAAGTCCCATTCGTCTCCATTCACTCCTATCTAACATGCTCACGCACGCTTGCTGGAAGTCCAAGCCCTCGCCCACAAAAACCCTCCTTTACCCCCTCTCTCCAACCCTTTCAAGGACACCCCAAATCCCGCCTTCCTTCCCCTATAGTTTTTAATGCTTTCCATGTCATTCTACTTTGATCCATTCTCCTAAATGACCAAACTACCTCAACAACCCTCTTCTGCCCTCTGACTAATACTTTTATTAACTCCACACCTTTTCCTAATTTCCACACTCTGAATTTTCTGCATAATATTTACACCACAATTGCCCTTTAGACAGGACAATCCCCACTGCCCCCAACCATCTCCTCGCTGCTGCATTTACCACCCAAGCTTCACATCCATATAAGAGTGTTGGTACTTCTATACTTCATACATTCCCTTCTTTGCCTCCATAGAAAACGTTTTTTGACTCCACATATACCTCAATGCACCACTCACCTTTTTTCCTTCATCAATTCTATGATTAACCTCATCCTTCATAAATCCATCCGCCGACATGTCAACTCCCAAGTATCTGAAAACATTCACTTCTTCCATACTTCTCTCCCCAATTTGATACCCAATTTTTCTTATCTAAATCATTTGATACCCTCATCACCTTACTCTTTTCTATGTTCACTTTCAACTTTCTACCTTTACACACATTCCCAAACTCATCCACTAACCTTTGCAATTTTTCTTTGGGAATTCCCATAAGCACAGTATCATCAGCAAAAAGTAACTGTCAATTCCCATTTTGTATTAATTCCCCCTAATTTAATCCCACTCCTCCCCCGAAAAACCCTAGCATTTTACTTCTTTTACAACCCCATCTATAAAAATATTAAACAACCATGGTGACATACACATCCCCGTCTAAGACCTACTTTTACCAGGAAGTAGTCTCCCTCTCTTCTACACCCTAACCTGAGCCTCACTATCCTCATAAAAATCTTTACAGCATTTAGAAAATTACCACCTATTTCCATATACTTGCAACATCTGCCACATTGCTCCTCTATCCACTATCATATGCCTTTTCTAAATCCATAAATGCAATAAAAACTTCCCTACCTTTATCTAAATACTGTTCACATATATGCTTCCAAGTAAAACTTGATCTACACATCCCTACCCACTCTGAAACCTCCTTGCTCATCCGCCATCCTACATTTTGTCTTACCCCTAATTCTTTCAATTATAAAACCCTACCGTACATTTTCTGGTATACTCAGTAAACTTATTCCTCTATAATTTTCAATCTCTTTTGTCCCCTTTCCCTTTATATAAAGGGACTATACATGCTCTCCACCAATCCCTAGGTACCTTCCCCTCTTTCATAATTTATTAAACAAAAGTACCAACCACTCCAACACTATATCCCCCCTGCTTTTAACATTTCTGTCATGATCCCATCAGTTCCAGCTGCTTTACCCCCTTTCATTCTACGTAATGCCTCGTACCTCCCCCCCACTTACATTCTGCTCGTCTTCACTCCTAAAAGATGGTATACCTCCCTGGCCAGTGCATGAAAATTACCGCCTCCTTTCTTCCTCAACATTTAAAAGTTCCTCAAAATATTCTCGCCCCTCTAAACCCAATACCTCCCTCTCCCCATCTACTAACTTTCCCCCACTCTGTTTTTAATGACAATCCATACTTTCCCTAGGCTTTCTTAACTTGTCTAGCTCACTCCCAAAATTTTTTTTCTTCTTTTCATTAAAATTTCTTGACAGTGCCTCTCCCACTCTATCATCTGCTCTCCTTTTGCACTCTCTCACCACTCTCTTTACCTTTTTTTTACTCTCCATATACTCTGCTCTTCTTATAACACTTCTGCTTTGTAAAAACCTCTCATAAGCTACCTTTTCTCTTTTATCACACCCTTTACTTCATCATTCCACCAATCACTCCTCTTTCCTCCTGCCCCACCCTCCTATAACCACAAACTTCTGCCCCACATTCTAATACTCCATTTTTTTAAAAATATTCCAACCCTCTTCAACCCTCCATACTGATCTTTGCCCCTAGCCCGCCTTTCTGCCAATAGTCGCTTATTATCTCACCCAAACTTCCTCCTCCCTTAGTTTATACACTTTCACCTCCCTCTTACTTGTTGTTGCCACCTTCCTCTTTTCCATCTACCTCTTACTTAAATGTAGCTACAACTAAATAATGATCCGATGTATCAGTTGCCCCTCTATAAACATGTACATCCTGGAACCTACCATCAACCTTTTATCCACCAATACATAATCTAACAAACTATTTCATTATGTGCTACTCATTCCTTGTATATTTATTTATCCTCTTTTTTATAAAATATGTATTACTTATTTTCCAAATCTCTTTTACACATAGCTCAATTAAAGGCTCCCCATTTACATTTACCCCTGGCATACCAAATTTACCTACTACTCCCTCCATAACATTTTTACCCACTTTGGCATTGAAATCCCAACCACCATTACTCTCACACTTGATTCAAAACTCCCATGCATTCACTCAACATTTCCAAAATCTCTCTCTCTCCTCTACACTTCTCTCTTCTCCAGGTGCATACACGCTTACTATAACCCACTTTTCACATCCAATCTTTATTTTACTCCACATAATCCTTGAATTATACATTTATAGTCCTCTTTTCCTGCCATTGCTTATCTTTCAACATTATTGCTACTCCTCCTTTAGCTCTAACTCTGTTTGAAACCCCTGACCTAATCCCTTTATTCCTCTCCATTGAAACTCTCCCACCCCCCTTTAGCTTTGTTTCACTTAAAGCCAGGACATCCAGCTTCTTCTCGTTCGTAACATCCACAATCATCTCTTTCTTATCATTTGCACAACATCCACGCACATTCAGACTTCCCCCTTTGACAATTTTCTTCTTCTTATTCTTTTTAGTAATCTTTACAGGAAAGGGGTTTTCTAGGGCCCCTTGTTCCCGGCATTTTAGTTGCTTTTACAACACGCATGGCTTACGGAGGAAAGATTTTATTTCCCCTTCCCCCTGGATATAAAAGGAAAAGTAATAAGACCAAGAACTATTAAGATAAAATAAAAGAAAACTCAGATGAGTGTGTATAAATAAACGTGTACATGTATGTGTAGTGTGACCCAAGTGTAAGTAGAAATAGCAAGACATTCCTGTAATCTTGCATATTTATGAGACAGACAAAAAACACCAGCAATCCTACCATCATGCAAAACAATTACAGGCTTTCGTTTTACACTCACTTGGCAGGACGGTAGTACTTCCCTGGGTGGTTGCTGTCTACCAACCTGCTACCTAATACTTGTATGTTTCATAATAAAAATGCTTTCAAATGAGCTGATGTAGGTAACAGCACTCTTAGCTTGTCAATAAAGTTAGGCATCCTTAACCTGTAAATAGCTTGTCAATAAAGCTAGGGATCCTTAACCTAACCTTGTCAAACTTGTGTAAAAAAAAAAAAAAAAAATTGGATAGAGGTTGCCTTAGAAAAGGTTGGGGGGGGGGGGAGAGGGGATTGTGTATAAGGGACTCTGACATCCAGCAAGCGTGTGTTAGTGCTGGATAGGAGTGAGTGGAGGCAAGTGGATTTTGGGACTTGACAAGCTGTTAGAGTGTGAGCAAGGTAACATTTTAAGGGATTCAGGGAAACCAGTTAGCAGGACTTGAGTCCTGTAGGTGCAAAGTACAGTGCCTGCACTTTAAAGGAGGTGTGGAGATATTTGCCGAATGGAGGGACATCTGAATTGTCGTACATACACGCCTCTGGCAAGACAGTGGTAATGTGAATGATGGTAAAAGTTTCTCTTACAGGTTACCCTTCCTCTGTGGATGACGGCCAGAGTGTTAAAAAAAAAAAAAATCCGACTTGTGTACCTGGCAAAGTAGTGGAAATTTTAAGGAATGAGCTAGTAAAACACTTACTGAATATGGTTCTTCTCAGGAGACGAATGTACAACAACTCTGATAACCAGGGAAATATCACACAGGCCACTTTTTGAAACCATACTGCACCTGAATGCAATTGACTACCTAGGTAAGATTTCTTTATGTCACTGTTTGTAAATGATGTAAAACTAAGTAGTAAAATAAGGACAAAAGTGAACTAACTTAACAAGCTACACTGGCTTTTGTAATTTAACATCAACCAATACAAGGTTATAAGGACAAAAATCAGGAGGCCTTAAGAGTTTCATTTGTAAAGAAGGCAAATTATAAATTTTGCCCAAAGCAAACAGAACATTAAAAGGATGTGCAAAACTGTCAAATTAAAGAATAACATTCATGGAGCTGAACAAGGAGGTACTCAGATCACTATACACAGCATGAATGAGACCTGTACAAGGAGGAAGTTTAATAAAAGTTTACAGCATACAAGACAAGGATAAATCTAGTTCACTATATGCAGCATACAGAAAATCTGTAAAAGAAACTATCTGTACATCATATACACAACATTTATATACAAAAATATTTGAGCAGAGGCATTCAGATCACTGTAAACAAAATACAAGACCTGTACCAGAGAAACCTTTGAAGAAGCAGGCACTGGTACTACATTTAAATAACTAAGTCTTCAAAGCCTCCTCTGCATCAAAACACTTGAATGAAAAAACATACAGGTTTAAAACAGAGCACTGCTTCACCAAACTAGCGAGACATCTATGCCCACCCATAAAACACTGAGCACAAGTGCCAAAAATAACTCGCCTGTCTCTAATTGCTAGGGAGATACCATTTGATGAACACTTTCGGAGAATGTCATGAACCTTCTCCATGGAGAATCCAGCCACTGTTACTCCATTGATTTGTAGGATCTGGTCACCAAAACGGAGCCCTAGAGACAAGCAAGTGAATTTTAGAATGCCATAATTACTATTCATCAGTTTAAACATTCACATTTCAATCTAAACTACAATTCCAAAACAGTCTAGAACGTTTTGTTTAAACATTTCATTTTCAAATATTTTACATTTATTATGAAGTCATTCACCTTGTGTGACATTTACAAAACATTTAGCTTTGTAATATAGTAAATGATATTCCACGTGAAAAGAGATGCTAGAATAAATCTGGAACCTAACCCCCTACCAGTTAATCCCTTTAATCATGCATGACTTACATATGCATAAGGCTAGATTTGTGCATAGTGTATATATACATGCAGGTGCATGTACTGTGCATGATATATATAAATGTGAATTTTTGAAAGCCTCACATCTGCTGCCAGTTGCTATTTTTATGCCTCATTTTGAATGTTTAGGTGTCATGCCAGGAAAAAAATGTAGGACCAGGCAGGTCTACACAGTATACATCATGACTAAAAATGACTCGGCAGAACACAAACAAGGAATGTGAACTGCCAAACTATATATATACAATTAAGTTTTATATTTATGCTGTGTGCACAGCATATATATTATTTTACAACATGAAGATCACACATGTTATGGGCACAAAAATTACATTTACAGTATATGTATATTCACCTAGGATAACCTAAGAAATCCCAACCCCGACTTATTTCCATTTGAGAGATCATACCCTGAATCAACTAAAATTATTTATATTTATTGTAAAATTATTCATATCAAATCATACATTATATTCCATATATGACTATGCTGGGCTAAGCATCTTTCCACATTTTGAGTACTAAAACACCTTGAAACATATTAATATCTCGTGTACACCATGTTAAGACATTAAAAATGGGCAAGAATACATTCACTTAGGACACCTAATCACATATTTGAAATGATCAAGGTCAAAGGACCAAAATATTTTCAATAAAGGCATCCTAAATGAATGCATTCGTATCAATTTCCTTATAGTTGTTAGCAGTCGTTTGCCTTCTTACTACAGAACTGCAATGTGGGAGATAGTGAAAATGCACAGAACAGATAGTTTACTAAGATACGTAAGTGCTCTAAGGTGTCGAGGAGAGGTGTGGGAGTAAAAGATAAACAATTTGATTTAAAGTAGGAGTTGTCACGGGAACTTTTTGCTGATGACAATTCCATTTGGGAGAATCTGAAGAGAGGTTGCAAAGGCTGATGGATAAATCTGGGAGGATACGTAATAGAAGGAAATTAAAAGCGGACAGAGGCATCTGTGGCAAGAAATAAGTTTCGCTATGGAGTATAGTGGTACCATCACTTTTATAACATTGTGGCAAGGAGGCAAAAAGGCAGTGTAGCTGTCATGTTGGAGGGCTAGAAGTGGTATGATTATTATACTGTAGGAAGCACAGTCCCCCTCAACTCCGAAGGACTGGCGGGGATGTTGCTGTTTGGAGGGTCATTCGAGTTGTGACACTGGTACGCTTCTGGTAAGGTTTTTTTTCAATCACCCTACTTAGGTGATAGAGGGCTAATGCAGTTAAAAATATCTGCACTGTACACCAAGTCAGAGCATTTATACACAGTTTCAATTTCCATTTTGTAATAGTACAGAAAGGTGGTATACCCACATAAAAAAAAAAAAAGAAATCTTGGAGATCTGCAATATCTTCTGCTGTCATAGACATTTTGAAATCACAAAAAATACGTATATCAAAATGTATTCTTTTAAATTTTTAAAACTAAACTTTGCGTTAGAACTGGCTGTAATAGCAAGGAACAGCATGGGTTTAACCCTTTGACTGTCGCGGCCGTATATATACGTCTTACGAGGTACCGTGTTTGACGTATATATACTCATAAATTCTAGCGGCTTCAAATCAAGCAGGAGAAAGCTGGTAGGCCTACATGTGAGAGAATGGGTCTGTGTGGTCAGTGTGCACCATATAAAAAAAATCCTGGAGCACGCAGTGCATAATGAGAAAAAAAAACTCCGACCGTTTTTTTTTAATTAAAATGCCGACTTTGTGGTCTATTTTCGTATAGTATTTATGGTTGTATTCTCGTTTTCTTGGTCTCTTTGATAGAAGGGAAAGACATATTATAAAAATAGAGATGATTTTGATTGATTTTACTATAAAAAAAAACCTAGAAATGGAGCTCAAAGTAGGGGAAATGTTTGATTTTTGCCAATGTTCAAAAGTAAGCAAATGATGCCATTTTCCGTAAATGTCCAACTAGCCATTCTAATATGCAGTCATGAATGGGTTGATGTTATTTACAATTATTACAGTATTGCAGTAGTCTGCATAATAGTAAGTCTTCAATTTTTTGTTTGAATAAAAATTCAAATAGAAAGCAAGAGTAATATCAGAGGGGCCTGGAAAAAACGACTGATGAGCAAAGAAAATGTTATTTTAGAGCCAGGAATGTCTGCTTTGTTCATTCTGGACCTTATTTGAAATTGTCATATTTTTTAGTTTTCGTGAAATTGGCCAAATTGCAAATTTCTGACCACATTATTAGGTAGTTGAAATCGGTAAATGAGCAGTTTCTTGTACTCAATCGATAGAAAAAATGGAGTTCTAAAGAAATAGCTATGAGTTTGGGCGACTGGAACAATGGAATTAGCCAAAAATAGGGCTCAAAGCGGGCGAAATCGCCGATTTGTAAACGGCGCTGAGGTTGCTAACTTCGCGAGAGCATAATTCCGTCAGTTTTCCATCAAATTTCGTTTTTTTTGGTGTCATTACAATCGGGAAAAGATTCTCTATCATTTCATAAGAAAAAATATTTTTTTTTTTTTTTAAATTTTGCGACACCAGGACATAAGACGTATATATACGGCTGCGACAGTCAAAGGGTTAAATCCCAGAAAATTACGACAATATTACTTGCCAAATTTCTCATAAAAAAAAAATGCAATGTTCATCACACTTCACTTTAATAAGGAACAGCATTCTAGTAATGTATTTTAAACCTAGTTCCAATCTTACAGACATACAACAATATACTTAGCTACCACTGATCTCAAAATAGTGAGGAAAAAATTATCTGATCACTTTGAATGTATGTAGCTCTTGCCTATTTTCTCAATTGCAAATGCAATATAGATAAAATAAGTCAGAACTCACCACAAAGAGGACTGCATGTGGAGTTCCACCTTGCCCGAAGCAACCACCCTACCATAATCAAACTAACATTACCTACAGACGGTAGTCACTTTATAGGTTTTGAGCTTTTCCCTAGATTTTATTCTTGCTTTAATGAATCTCTCTCTTGCTTCTTGACCATAGACTGCAGCTGAAGTTTCTGACAATTAACAGAGCCTCATTGACCAAACACATCACACATTCTGATATCTTAGAGTACATAAAATCTGGAGATAAGCCACATACAATGCCACAATTTCAGTGTCACACACAAACTGTAGAATAAAGTACGAAGCTGGTAATGTAATTTTCAGTTTCAGCATGTGGGTAAGAATAAGATCTAGGGCAAAAATGCCCAAGCTATGTAGGTAATGTTAGTGTGATAATGATCGGGTGGAACTCCACATACAGCCACCACTTCAGTATAAGCTGCTTTGGCCAGTACCCAACAAATGTCTGAGTCATCAGACTTGGTCTGATGCTTTAGAAGATAACCTGACACTATCACTATGGACTAAATCTGCGACTGTGAATTTTTTACATTTCGCCCAATGCTTCCATTTGTGTAGCCAATTTTCTCCAAAATTGCTGAAATTTGTTAAATGCTGGCTTGTTAATAAGAGGTTTTGATATGGTTATAAACCATTCCAACATCCTTGAAATTCTGCAGCAATCTACTGCAATCGTAAGTGAAATGTGTTCATATACACAAGTTAATATTTCATCCTTAAACTTACCAGCAAGTGCTGCTGGTGAGTTCTTCTTAACAAGACATACAAACACTCCCTTGTTGATAGCCTTCACACGCATACCAACTTTGCCATCAGCATCTTTGCAGAGTGTTACCTGAAGAAAAAACTAGGTTATTAAGTGTTCAGATTGAGTAAGGATAACCAAATGTTACAGATGAACAATGATAACTATGAAAATTATCTATCAACAAACCGGCCGTATCTCACCGAGGCAGGGTGACCTAAAAAAAACAAATGTTTCTCTTTTTAACTTTAGTAATGTATACAGGAGAAGGGGTTACTAGCCCCTTGCTCCAGGCATTTTAGTTGCCTCTTACGACATGCATGGCTTACGGAGGAAGAATTCTGTTCCACTTCCTCATGGAGAGCTATGAAAATATAGGAAATATTGCATTTTCTATGCTATTGTTTTGCACAAGTTACATTTTTTGGTTATTATTAATTTATGTTAGTTGTTCCAAGTTAATGCATCACATGTAATGTGATTCAATGGTACACACAACTAGAAGTACATCGAAGTGGATTAATTTATGAATATAGCCACCCAATATCACTATCAAACTGACCAATCAGGAAATTCAGTTAGATCTGAAAGGATGAATCAACATGAAATAATCATTAAATATGCATTATCAGAAATGGTGATGTACCCAATTGTATGAGTCAGGGAAAGCTCTCAGAGAATCGTCAGAAAATAGTTCAATAATTACATAAACATTTAAATTAAATGTTGTGACTTAGCAATTCATTCTGAGGCTGGAGGCTTCAGCTTCATTGTTTTTCATACTGAAAGAGGAATGTCGAGTTCTGTTGAGGTGTACTAAGCATAGACTTATTTCACTGTACATTTCCTTATATTTAAGGGTTTAACTAATGACAATTCTAATAAATGTATGTTGAAGGCTGACAAAATTATTACAACAAACCATCATATTAGAATATCTTCCACATTCTTCTGGAAAACACTGGTTCATCACTCAAACATCTTGACAGATAAAGACAAATACAGTGTAATGTGATCCTTCATTGACAAAGTTTAGCACTTTTTTTTTATTATAATAATAATAATAATTATAATTCATCAACAACACTTTGGCCACACACTGGGCTTTGTTAAGTCACAAACAGGCCTACCTGGGGATAGGATGTGTGTATATATACACCTACCATCTGACTTACGACCGAGTTCGGTTCCGAGAAACCGGTCATAAGTCGAAATAGTCCTTTACTACTGAATATCAACAAAACATTTTTGTAATGACTATTTTATTGTTTTATTTTGGTATTTCATGTTTTACTTTACTTTTTATGTTGTTAGTACAGTGGACCCTCGACCAACGTTGGCATCGTCTAACGTTAAATCCGACTAGCGATGCATTTTAACGCAAAAATTTTGCCTCGACTAGTGCTAAAAACCCCGACCAACGCTATTCGTTCCATTCGAGACGCGTCCACTTTGGCCTGAGCGCGCCTCACTTGTCCCGTGGGTGCCAGTGTTTACAAGCCAGCCAGCCACCACGGTCCCATCCATACATACAATCGGAACATTTCATATTATCACAAGTCCTAATGGAAGGGGATTCCCCTTCTAAACACTAAGACCATCAACACTCTCCCCTCCTCCCATCCCATCAATCATCACCAGATCTTCAATAAAGGTAAGTGTCATGTAACTGTGCATGTCTTCAGTTTGTGTGTATTAAAATTAATATTTCATGTGGTAAAAACAATTTTTGTTCATACTTTGGGGTGTCCTGCACAGATTAATTTGATTTCCATTATTTCTTATGGGGAAAATTAACTTGACTAACAATAATTTTGACTAACGATGAGCTCTCAGGAATGGATTAATAGCGTTAGTCGAGGGTCCACTCTACTGTATTTTATACTGTAAGGTTTAGGATAAACACTGTGTACAACACAAATAGTTGTTTATTTCCCAGAAATTTGGCATAAAAAACACAGTCGTAAGTCGAGTGGTTGTAAGTCAAGCAGGTCGTAAGTCGGATGGTAGGTGTATATAGGGAGCATAGTGATGTAACGAGTCAGCCGAGATACGATGAAGCTTATTTCTTGGGAAACTGACACCAAGTTGGACAAATACAGTACAGTGGTTCCATGAGTTGCAATGTTAATCCATTCCAAAAGATGTATTATACAGTAGGGCCGCACTTTACGGCATTCCGCTAATATGGCGATTTCAAATTACGACCAAAACTTGCTATATGGCGAGCGATCTTTCTAATACAGCATGCCCCTCCCCATTTGTTTACATTCTCTGTAAGCACATCTCTATTATGTCTGGAAATTTTCCAAAATTTTAAGTGTTTTAAAGTTATTGCATGTTTTATATGTCTTCTGATAATTATACTTATGTGTACCTTTACCCAAGTACACTTAAACACCGTGCTGGCATGCAGGTACACATTAAAATCACTAAGTGTGTCTATTAGACGCCATATCTTGGGCACATCAAATGTCATATATTACGTTAATATGTACAGGTAGTAGGTTGGTAGACAGCAACCGCCTAGGGAGGTACTACCATCCTGCCAAGTGAGTGTAAAACAAAAGCTTGTAATTGTTTTACATGATGATAGGATTGCTGGTGTCCTTTTTTCTGCCTCATGAACATGCAAGATTTCAGGTACGTCTTGCTAGTACTTCTACTTACACTTAGGTCACACTACACATACATGTACAAGCATATATATACACACACCCCTCTGGGTTTTCTGCTATTTTCTTTCTAGTTCTTGTTTATTTCCTCTTATCTCCATGGGGAAGTGGAACAGAGCTCTTCCTCCGTAAGCCATGCATGTTGCAAGAGGCGACTAAAATGCCAGGAGCAAGGGGCTAGTAACCTCTTCTTCTGTATACATTACTAAATGTCAAAGGAGAAACTTTCGTTTTTCCTTTTGGGTCAAACCCGCCTCGGTGGGATACGGCCGGTGTGTTGAAAGAAGAAAGACGATGTACAGGTAGTAGTTGGTAAACAGCAACCACCCAGGAGGTACTACCGTTCTGCCAAGTGAATGTAAAACGAAAGCCTATAATTGTTTTACATGATGGTAGGATTGCTGGTGTCTTTTGTCTGTCTCATAAATATGCAAGATTACAGGTACGTCTTGCTACTTCTACTTACACTTATGTCACACTACACAGTTATTTATACACACTCATCTGAGTTTTCTTTGATTTTATCTTAGTTCGTGTTCTAATTACTTTTCCTTTTATATCCATGGGGAAGTGGAATAAGAATATTTCCTCCGTAAGCCATGCGTGTTGTAAAAGTCAACTAAAATGCCAGGAACAATGGGCTAGTAACCCCTTTTCTTGTAATAATTACTAAAAAGAATAAGAAGAAAATTGTCCAAGTGGGAAGTCTGAATGTGCGTGGATATTGTGCGAATGATAAGAAAGAGATGACTGTGGATGTTATGAATGAGAAGAAGCTTGATGTCCTGGCTTTAAGTGAAACAAAGCTGAAGGGGGTGGGCGAGTTTCAGTGGAGAGGAATAAATGGGATTAGGTCAGGGGTTTGTAATAGAGTTAGAGCTAAAGAAGGAGTAGCAATAATGTTGAAGGATAAGCTATGGCAGGAAAATTGGGACTATAAATGTATTAATTCAAGGATTATGTGGAGTAAAATAAAGGTTGGATGCGATAAGTGGGTTATAGTAAGCGTATATGCACCTGGGGAAGAGAGAAGTATAGAGGAGAGAGAGAGATTTTGGGGAATGTTAAGTGAATGCATGGGGAGTTTTGAACCAAGTGTGAGAGTACTTGTGGTTGGGGATGTTAATGCTAAAGGGGGTTTAAAAATGTTGTTGAGGGAGTAGGAAAATTTTGGGGGTGCCGGGGGGTAAATGAAAATGGGCCTTTAATTGAGCTATGTTTTGAAAGAGGTATGGTAATAAGTAATCATTTTTTATGAAAAAGAAGAAAAAAAAAAATTTATACAAGGTATGATGTAGCACGTAATGAAAGTAGTTTGTTAGATTATGTTTTGGGTTTAGATAAAGGTTGATGGGTAGGCTCCAGGTGTACACGTTTATAGAGGGGCAACTGATATATGGATCATTATCTAGTTGTAGCTACAGTTAGAGTAAGAGGTAGATGGGGATAAGAGGAATTGGCAACAAAAGAAAGGGGGGAGGTGAAAGTATATAAATAAGGGAGGAGGAAGTTGGGGGTGAAATTAAAGCAACTATTGGCAGAAAGGTGGGCTGGTGCAGCTATGGTAGTGGGGGGGTTGAAGAGGTTGGAATAGTTTTGAAAAAGCAGTATTAGAATGTGGGCAGAAGTTTGTGGTTATAGGAGGGTGGGTGCAGGAGGAAGAGTGATTGGTGGAATGACAAAGGGTGGATAAAGAGAAAAGGGCTTATGGAGGTATTTACAAAGCAGAAGTGTTATAAGAGAGAAAAGTATATGGAGAGTAAAGAAAGGTGAAGAGTGGTGAGAGAGTGCAAAAGGAGAGCAGATGATAAGAGTGGGAGAGGTACTGTCAAGAAATTTTAATGAAAATAAGAAAAAATTTTGGAGGGGAGTTAAACAAGTTCAGAAAGCTAGGGAACAAATGGATTTGTCCCGGTTTAAAAACAGAGTAGGGGAGTTAGTAGATGGGGAGATGGAGGTTTTGGGTAGATGGCGAGAATATTTTGAGGAACTTTTAAATGTTGACTAAGAAAGAGAGGTGGTAATTTCATGCACTGGCCAGGGAGGTATACCATCTTTTAGGGTGAGAAGAGCAGGGACATGAGTGTGGGGGAGGTGCCCTGAGGCATTACACAGAATGAAAGGGGGTTTAAAAACAGCTTGAACTGACGGGATCATGACAGAAATGTTATAAGCAGGGGGGGATTGTGTTGAAATGGTTGGTATTTTTGTTTAATAAATGTATGAACGAGGGGAAGGTACCTAGGGATTGGCGGACAGCGTGTATAGTCCCTTTATGTACAGGGAAGGGGGACAAAAGAGATTGTAAAAATTATAGAGGAATAAGTTTACCGAGTATACCAGGAAAAGTGTATGGTAGGGTTATTATTGAAAGAATTAGAGGTAAGACAGAATGTAGAATTGCGGATGAGCAAG